ACACACACACACACACACACACACACACACACACACACACACACACACACACACGTTAATGGGTCGTCTGGTTGACACATTAACGTTTGACACACTCTGCCTTTACTTTGACCTCTTTTTTAAAATACACTAAATATTTTCTATCATGTACAGTGACTGGCATCAATAATAGATGTAAGTATAAGAGTAGAAAAGTTACTATACTTGACAGAGCTCTTCTTGAACAGTTAGTTTTTAAAAAAAAAAGACTGCCCCTTAAGTATTCTGCTTTCTGTTTTTACTTAATAAAACCTAATTTTATAAACATATGCTATAATTTTGGAAGCCAAATTATTCTAGAAATATAGAAAAACTTCTTGTGCACCTTCTGAACATTGCGTGCGTCTGTCTGTTGTAGAGGCATATCTTGATCTTCCACAGGACAATTGTGAAAAAAAAATCTCAAAGAGATTGGACTGTGATGTGAGGGGAAGGAGTCCTGCTGCCGGGGCCTGGTGTTGTTTTTGGACACGTACCCATTCTAGCACAGACAAGTCTTCTGGGGCCTCACAGCTGGAGCTGGCTGGTCTAACCCGGACAGGCGCCCTGAACCTCTGCTCATTCATCTCGGTGACACCCGTGACTCACCGCCAAAGCTCAGCTGACCAATGAGAAGCGAGGTGGACAGTTTGAGGAGGATATTGGCGGAACAGGATGCTGTGACTAAACACACACATAAAGGAGCTATGGCCCTGATATCATGTTCTTTTTATGACTTCTCACTTTGAATGTTACAGCGGTGGAAACAATGCATGCTTGATAAGGTGCCTCATTGTATTTTATTCTGCATTCTGCACAGAGTAAGAATTTTGTTTTTTTTTCCTCCACAGAATCTCACCCACTGCAACTATGATCAAGAACAGCAGATAAGATAACGTCTGACCCGTCATTTTCCCTCACCACTCACCCACCAGAGGCCAAGTCAGCTGAAATAAATTAGGAAAAACCACTTAAGAAGAATTAAATGTTTCCAAGTGTGAAAGTTTGTCCAGTTGTGTGAAACCTCCCTGCCAAAACCCATTTAATGTCTTCACTGATATCCAAAATCAAATTACATCTTTTCTTTCCGTTTCCTTCAGGAGGGCGCAAGAAACAAAAACACATTCCTGTCTCCCTAGCGTGTGTTTTGTGTGTGTTTGTGCACACGCCTGCTGCGGCCACAGTTATAACTCAAGTGTTAAAGCGGGTTGTTGTTTTTGTTTGCTGCATTCTTTGCTGCGGCAGCAAAGAAACCTCAGTGGTCACTGTTGGCGTGCAAACCAGCTCTGCCCCCACGAACTGGTCTGCGCTCGGCTTGTTTTAGTCAATGCAAGCCGTCGCGAGCGACACGTATCTGAAGACATCTTGCCCAACCGCTGGTCCTCGGATTACACTGGGATCATTTTTCATATTTAGCACTGACAGATGTACTCACCCCAATTCCCATGCTGCTCTGGGGTTCCACAATCCCAGCCTCCAGAGAGCGATTGGACATTTTACTCTTCTCCGCTGCACCTGACAAAATGTGCAGACACAAATGGAGCACTCAGACAATATTTCAGATTAAACATTCAGTGTCTCATTTTATCTGATGTTAAACGCTGCGGGTGTGTTAATGTTGACACAAACTGAGTTGTTCTGACACGACACGAGGTGGGAAACGTTTTTGTTTTTATGTCATCGAGTGATAAGAGGTTCATCAAGACCTGACAGCACTGAGGAATGACAGGAATCTGTGACTTGATTAAAGATTATTCAGGAGACAGATCCGCTGCAGTAACCATGGCAAGAGACACACAGCTTGACTTCATGGACAACCCGGTGATGATAAAAATCTAACTTCTCCTTTTTTGTTTGATAAACAAACAGAAAATAAGAAGCTTTTACTTTTATTTTAACGCCCTCATCAGGTCAAACTGTGTCAGTGCCAAAATAAACAAGCATCTTGGTTAGGATCTCATTACATTTCTAACTGACCAATCTTAGTGATGGTTTACAGTACTGTGCAAGTTTAACATTTAGAGTACTGTGCAAGTTTTACATTAGTCCTGGTTTCATTATATTTTACCTCCATGCTGTGTGATTTTCCTCATTTCAATCATTGATTTATCAAAACATGGGCTTGATTTGAAACTTTTATTCTACTTGAAATTTGTAAGCTTTCTTTTACCAAAATAAATAAATAAATATATTTTTTAATAATAATAATATTATTATTATTATTATTATTATTATTATTATTATTATTATTATTATTAATAATAATAATAATAATAATAATAATAATAATAATAATAATAATAATCTCTTTAGGCCCTTCAAAAATATTGTTGGAAATCTACTTCAGCGTTTTTGCTCTTTTTCGATTTTTTTTAAAGATACTATTAGTTTTTTAGTTCTGCTAATTTTGGCTTTTAGTAAATTATGGTAATCTAAGGTTAGGCCTATGGTTTTGCTATTTTTATCTTTTAGCTATAGTTTTGTTAATTTTTGTTTTGTTCTGCTTGTTTTAACTTTAGGTATTTAGTTTCACATGAAATTTTTTGCATAAAATGCAATTTTCTCAAGTTTTGGACCCAGTTCCTAAAAGTTATAAAGGATTCTTGTCATCATTTTGTTTGTTTGTATTTGTTAAGTCTAGTGCTGAGAAGGTTCCTTGAATAATTCGAGTAATTCGATTACCAAAAATCCTTGAGGCAAATTATCTACCTCGAACCTTTGTAAAAAAAAATAGGGCCTGTTAAAATCAGTGCACCTTTGCCGGCCAGAATGTTATTTGAGTTCCACAAAGCTACGTCGTTAGCACTTCTGCTAGCAGTCACACTGTTGACGCGTGTAGACTAAGTGCTATTTTTAGTAATGGAAGGAGACGAACAGTCCCAAAACGAGGCGCTCAGAAAATGACAAATTGTGGAAAGTGTGGGATAATTTCAAACTAAACAGAAAAGAGGAGTGCAACGCACTGCATGTCCTCGATGTTTCTGAACCAGAACAAAAACAGCTGATGCATCTACCGAACGCGTCCGGAGTAACAGGTATCGTTCACATTCCCTTCTGACTAATCATAGTGGCTACCTGGCAGAGTATTATTTAACAGCTAAATTTTTAAAATCTGATTACTCGATTAATCGACAGAATAATCGATAGATTAATCGATTACTAAAATWATCGTTAGCTGCAGCCCTAGACTTAAGTTACTTATTCACTGTTATTTAACAAGGAAAGTCCCGTTGAGATCTTAGATCTATTTTTCAAGGGAGGCCTGGGCCTGAAGGCAACCTATTGTACATGTTTTTGGGGGGTGGGGGAAACCAGAGTACCCGGAGAAAACCCACACAAGCACGAGGAGAACGTGCAAACTCTGCACAGAAAGACCCCAGGTCTGACTGGGGATTGAACCCAGGACCTTCTTGCTGTGGGGAGTCAGTGCTATCCACTGAGCCGTCGTACTGCCCACTTGTGCTTGACCTGGGACTCAGTCAGTCATGGCTATGGTCTCAGCATATTGACTGAAAGATAATCTGGCTTCATGGAAGCTAAGTAATAAAATTAAATGGGGTACTTGCACAACACATTTTCTAAATAGTGATCATATCACCATCTACATCTGTAACAACAGCAAAAATATATTTTTTAATATCAGTTACAATGATACTGTATGACAGCCTCTGTAATAATCTTCAATAAGTCAGTTGTAGGAGATCAACCAGAGGAAGGACTCCCAGCTCACCTTGCAGCTGCTCTTCTCGGATCTGTCGGATGGCCGCTCGGATCATCTTCCTCTCCTCGTACTCACTTGCAGCGCGGAGCTACGACAACGTGAACACGACGGCTCAGTGCACCAAAGTAAAAACAAAATGCTTGACTATAAATATATATTTTTTAATAATCACCATTTTTGTTAGCTCATCAACATCTTGGATCGATTGCAGTGTTTGCGACAGGACGTCCAGGTTGTTGCTGGATTCAGATCTGAGAAAAGAACAGAAAAGAAGCATTTATTGTTTCATTCAGGAAAAAAAATCAAATAAAAGAATTCGACCTGCACGGACTTTCATCTGAAACTTTAATGCATGCCAGCTAAAAACAAAGAGTGGAAAAGTGATACTATAACATACGGGATTTGAAAGCAAAGACACAATAATCCTAATAATAAACACAACCCTCATCCTCCCTTCTTTCAGTCCCAGATTTCTTTTCATTACTCAGACGTTCCTTTAGCTCTCAATATCTACACTTTTCCATCATTACCTGGTTTCAAAGGATGTGCAGCTCAGTGAAGTTTGAATGTTTCACATTCCACAACTAAAGGTCTCATGGAAATAAAGTGTGCATAAACGCATGGATGCGTCAGACATGGTCTGATTTCTTTAGCAGCTTCAGCGAGGCACCTCCACTGTTTTTGTAACCCAAGTCATCTGAGAGAAGAGGTGACTGGAAATGATTATAAGGCCCTACCACAGTCCTTAGGAGGACTTAAGTGACAGAGAGATCGGCAGCAGAAAGCTGGAGGATACTCCTGACATCAAACAGGGCTAATTCTTAACTCCAAACCACATGCTGGGATTGAACTATGGAGGCTTTATCTTGAACAACACTTGATATATGAGCTGAAATGTAAAGATTTTATCAAACAAAAAGGTTTAAACCATCCAGAAATACAAAACAACTTAACAGCTGTGATTTTCCACCTTGATATTTCCAGGCTTTTTGTGTGAAAACTTATTTACCTTGCTTGGAGAACTTTACTTTAAAACAGTCATGTACATGGGTGTGTGTGTGTGTGTGTGTGAGGGTCCTTACATGTGCTGGTTCTCCTTGTCCTCCTGCTGATTGAGGCGCGTGGGTCGAAATCTCTTGCTGGCCAGCGCTGCCTCCATGTCCTCGATCTCCCTCCTCCTCAGCTCTCGGATGGCTGAACGGATGAGGCGTCTCTCGTCCAGATCCACGGTTCCATCCAGCTGCGCCACAAAGACAGCACAATGAACAGCAGCACACACAGCGCCGTCATATGGATCTCAAACATTTGCTTTGCAAAGACCAATGACTTGCCACCAATTTACGTGCATGACTTACGGTCCCAGCATTACATAAGTAAGCAGATTATTATGAAGCGCCACAGGGCCTGTTTTTAGGGAAGAATGAGGCAGAAAATGAGCTGTAGAGTCACTTCCGGCACTGTTCAGGCACGATTTAACCTGGATTTTTGTTACTGCCTGCCGCCACAATGCTGGCAATAATGTTTTTGTCTGCGTCTGCATCTGTGTGCACGTGTCTGTTCATTAGCAAAATATCTCATGAACCACTGAGCACCATTGGGTGCACATCTACAAGTCATTACTTTTTGGAGTCAACCTGATTTAAGATAGTTTCATAGAGCTAACTAACATTGCAAAAACAAACAAAAAAGACCTAAATTAAAAAATTTAAGCTAATTTTTTGTGGTTGTAGTTGGCAGTCATTCATAACACATAATCTGGGCATGAGATCTTTCGATATCAGGTGAGGTGACACGTAACATTTTTTGTCAAGGTTTGGCTAAAACGGCTGTAAACACCTTAATTTATCAAGGTAAAATGATCTTAGGTTAAAATACAGTCAAGAAAGGAAAGTTAGGGATTTAATTTGCTTCACTTTTTAACTAAGGGCGCACCAATTACAGTTTTCTGTCCAGTCACTGAAAAGTCTGTCCTGCTGATTCTGATTTTGGCCAATACAGATATTTCATTATAAATGACACTAAGGCTTCAATGTTCCAATCTTATTTTATTGAAAAACATTGAACAGTAACCTTGAAACAATACAAACTTGAAAAGTTTAGATAATTGCTGTTCAAACTATTAAATTAACTAAACTAATAAAAAAATCTGATCTTTTACTCTTTTATTTTTAACATAAAAAAACTAAAGCAGAACAAAAAGGGCACAGCGTCTGATTTTCAGACCTTTAAAGAGATGGATAATGGCGGATGAGATCAGCTTCTCATGCAAGTATTGGCTGATCACCGATCACCCAAAATCAGGAAAATCAACTGTTGGTTAACGCGACGCCACACAGACATTCCTGGTTCATGTCTGCATGTGTAGTGGTTAGAGGGTCAGTGGAGCAGATGGACAGCTTATTGACTGAAGATAAATGATCCAACTTCACTAATGAGACGAGACGCATGGGATAAAACAGACGCAGCAGCAGCCACTGCTCCGCTTTAAGAAACGAGTGTGTTCAGCTCTGAAGCTCAACCTGTTGTTCAGGTATCTTCCTCTGTCACGACCACTTAAAAACACCTGCTGACGTGTGTCGTCAATCTGGTAAATAATCTCCCAGCAAAAGATGAGTAATTAGTGAGTGTATAAAAGAACACCTGAAGACAGATGTGCTCCAACTTAAACCAGATGCTTTCATCCAAGAGGCAGCCCTGAGAACAAGAGGCTGGGGTGGAAGGAGCCCCTCGCCTGTCATGCAGGAGACTGATCTCTTTTTGGATCGACAGCAGCAACCTGTCAACACACGCAGAGACACAAACAGCTCCTCTGCCAGGTTTTTCTTATAAACCTCACAGTCAAAACACACGCTAAGGTTTCCTGACGCATCAGTGAAAATCTACCAAGTCCAGGCACATATATCTTTGTTTGCCAACTAAAGGCAGAGCTGGATGCGATTGTTACGCTAAGCCATACATGCTGATGGGTTAAGAGGGGCCTGACGTGCCTTGCAGCTGGGCCTAGAGACAAATGAAGAGGAGGACTGTCTCATAAGAGATGAAGAAAGCAAGCAGTTTTGAGGTTTCACTGTGGTTCGATGAAATATGCAGCCTGAACTGCCACAGTTCAGAAGGACGCAAGCAACTCTATGCTGTAATTTGTGGAAATGTAAAGTGCTGAGCTGGGTAAGAAATGAAGAAAATGATCTCTGACACAGATGAAAGATATGGAAAAGAAAAAAACAGATGAATTGTGGGCTCGTGATGACAATGTGAAAGAGAAAAACATAAAAAAAAGGCATTCTACACTTAAGTTTGACTAAAAATGGGCAGAAAGGACCTGGCCTTGTTCAGGTCATTCCTCACATTCCTGCTGACTCAAAAAAAATATATCTGAGTGAAATCCGGTGATCAGGAATTGTTTTTTGTTCCAATAATTCAGCACTGAGATGAGGAGACAACCAGAAGCTGTGGTAGCAAGTTTCTGATAGTAAAAAAGAGATTAAGACAAAATGAGAACACGTCGCTCCATTTTATTGCAGGCCGGTGAGTGTTTTACACTCACACACAAAGCAGACACTCGRGGGAGCTGTCTGTTACCTCACTGACATGCTCAGCGCTGAGTAAAAGCTATGATGTGATTTTACAGCCTGTGTCCTCGCTGCCAAGTTTTAGGGCTGACTGATTTATGTTTCACCACCGACAGCTAACAACAGAGCCTGGAGTCTGGGCCTCCCACCCTAAACTGACACGCTTGGCGTTTGATAAGAACCAGAATTTCTGTCCAGTTTGAACATTCAACAAAGAAAGAGACGAGAGACGGCTCGTAAACCMGGAGAACGAGACAACCTGCAGAGCTTTTCAGATCAGTTCCTGTTTTCAGACATGAGTACAGAAAGGAGAGCCAGAGAAATGTCATATTCTGTGAAAATGCAGCGTGAATGTTAAGTGCTGAATGACTGATGAAATTCATTGAAGCGGCTAAAACTGACTCGAACATAAAAAAAGCAAAATGTTAGCTGAATGGAGCAAAACATTAGTTAAACTAAAATATAGTAAAGCACTAGCTAAATAAAAACAAACAGCTAAAAACCAAAAGTAGCTAAAAGTGGCAAAATGTAGCTAGAAGATAAAGCAAACAAAAGGCAAACTAAAAGCAGCTAAAGGCTAAATAAAAGCAGCAAAAGGTTAGGTACAAGCAAAAGTAACAACAAACTAAAAGCATCATGCTTGTGAGAGGCAAAGACTGACAAAAGGCTAAATAAACGCAAACAGCAAAAGGCTAACTAATAACAAAATGCTAGCTAAACCCAATGGTATAAAGTAGCAAAAAGCTTAAAGCTAAATGTAGCCAAACTAGATAAAAGCAGAAAATGTTTAACTAAAAGTGCCACAACAGTAGCTAAAAGCTAGAGTTAGCATAAGAAGACAAACAGAGCATCTGTGATGAAGTACATTTTAAAAGAGAATATATAAGGAACTGAAGAAATCCTCATATATTTGTAATGTACTAACAGTGTAAATAAGAAATTGTTCTTAATGTTTTACCTAGTGAAATAAAGGTGATAAGAAAAATATCTACAGAGAATTTTATCTTGAATAAACATTTAATTTTTGGAAAGTATAACAGTTACCAAAAAATAAGTCCCAGCCCCTATCTCCTGAATTAGCTTCACATTTATAYGAATGACTAAAATAGCACAAATTAAGAAAGAATTGTACAAAACATAAAAATTAAAATAAAAAAAGAAATAAATAACGTGAATACTGAATCAGCACTTACTCAATTAAAGTCAAGGTGTGATATAAGACACATAAATAATCCCAGTATCACCTCAGCCCTACTTTAAGTGAATTTGTTCAAAAGGTTTAAATGAACCAATTGGTGTAACGAAAGTTGTAGATTTCTGTTTAGATTGGTTGTAAACATCTACAAGCTGAATTTCAACCGGACAACCCAGATGGCGCGGCGCCAGGGAGCATAACAGAGTTTCAATTTATGATTCAGGAGAGGGGAAACTAAAAATCAACCAATAATCCTGTACAAGAAAGTAACGAAGAGTGTGATACAAAAGCAAACAGAACACACCTTAAATTTGGGCTCTGGCCAAAGAAAACAGAATAACCGTTAGAGACGGAAACATATGCTCCTGTAGAGACAGAGTCCATTTGACAAAACCACCAGATCACAGGGGCCTCAGAAAGGTCTGGGCCAAAGGAAAGGAAAAAACGAATAAATCTGTCCAGTAATAGAAGGACACTACCTTAAAAACGGGAATTTCTCAAACTGGATGTCCCTGTGTATCCAAACATTAACACAAAGAGTGACCATTGCAAGCAGGCAGGAAACCTTTTCACCAACAATTTTGAGGTCAAAAATCAAACAGCAATATGTTTTTAATGAGACGACACACAGTCATGACTGCGTCACTGAGCTGTCAGCGCCTATAAATGAGTCATGGTGCAGTCTGGTCTTACTGCGCTCATCTGTCGATAAGCAAGCTGCCGTCACACCTGTCAGGGCTAACAAAGTCACCTGGTGTTCAACAACAGGATGAACTCCTTGTCCTCAAATGCAAACGCACATTACACCTAAAAGCTTATTATATAGGAGGCATGAATGAACGACACGCAAGAAATTGTTTTATTGTTCCACAAGCAGGCTTGGACTTGCTGCGAGTCATTTCCAGACGTGCAGCAGACTTCCATGAAGCAACACCGCAAAACCTCAGAAATGGCAKCCATCCGAAGCAGCCCGATCAATCAATCTAGGCCAATTAGAGAGCACTCGGGGGTTTACCAGTAATCCCAACCAGCTGGTGACACACTCCCAGGGACAGAAACACCCCGCTACACATGACAAACAGTTAAACTTTTAGTTTGGGAGTCTGGGTGATTTTATTCTGCCAGCATCAGAAGTGGCTCCAAGGACTTTATCAGATGGTCAAAACAAACTGAGCTGCTGTTTATTGTCAGAGTTTAAAAAGGGCAAAAGATGAAGAAGTACCAGAGGAACAAGTGAGAAAAATAACTGTGGAAGATGAAACAAACCACTCAACTGGATTGCTGTGGATACTAAAACCAAACAGTGAATAAGTTCAATGAGTTTTATTTCAGTGGCTCTGCTCTGCTTGAGATCATTTGATTTAAATAAACAGAAAACAAAGTGGCTACAGACTGATTAATGTAAAGAAAACACTCCCAAAATAATCTGTCTCTTAAAGTGCACAGGCTTTAGTCAACTGGACTGAAACGTTGTGG